AGAGGAAAGCCCATGCAAATGTTAAAAAAAATTCAAAATAAAATAAAGATTCTACAAGAAAGCAAAATTGAGTGATACAAAAAAAAAAAAAAAAACAAAAGAGGGTTCAAAATAAGTGAAGCTCCTAGTAAAGGCATGCAACTTGGGAGCAAATTGGGAATTTGAGCTTTTAATGACCATTCTTTTAATAACCATACCCCAAACCCCATTACAACCCAAAGCAAAAGTCTTTTATGAAGGTTTTGAAATTTTAGATGTTTTGATGATTACAGTCACTAGGTTGAAGATAACATGGGGGGCATTTTGAGCTTAATATCATTCTTTTCAAATTAACCAAGCTAATGACCACATTACAAGACAAAAACAAAAAGTCCTTATCAGATGATCTGAAAGCTTTTGAAATTCCAATGTGATTTGAGTGATAAAAATCTATGATTGTCTTAAAAAGCGAGGGGTAAATTTTGAAAAATTTGAAGTTGAGCCATTCAAATGATTCAATGATGATCCATGAGTTGAAGATATCATCTTTATATTTTATGAAAGAAATGATGATAATTTGTTAAGATAACAAGGAAAGGATTCTTCTTCTCTATTAAGAATTTCAAATCTTTCATCTTTTTTGAAGAATTCCATACCTTTCATCTTAATCATGTCATCCATTCATACCTTTCATTTAGTCTCTCTTTGTTCGTATCATCATACCCTCATTTGACTTAACATTCATATAGAGTTCCCTTATAAAAAAAAAAACAAATAGCTTTTGTTTTATTCATGCTACTTATAAAGAAAGTAGAGAAAGCTCACATAGAGTCAAAGCAACAACAATCCCAAGGGAATGAACTTAATTGTTGTCATGCATAATCATTTTGAGCAGTTAACATGTGATGTATTTAGAATATCTAGTTTGAAATCCAATTGATGTGAGCTTATAGCAATTTGGATGACTAAATCAATTGATGAATAATCTGCATTTCTAGACTATACAGAGAAGGATTCATACTTCTTTTGCTTATGATATGATTAAGTCAATTATAGATACAAACATGTAATACAAACTTCAAACTGGGGGACAATTGCGAACCTAAGGTATATTCTTTTCTTAAAAGATCTACATCTAAACATGACAAGGTAAAACCATTTTCAAAATCCTTCATGACATTTCCAAAAGCATTTCTATAAAAGGTAATTTCTCAACTTATTTTCAAAAGCAATTTTTTAATTCATTTTTCAGGATCATTTTTCTCAATCATTACATCTCTTATCAACTAAACATTCCATAACATTTTTCTACCAACATGACATATCAACATAACATTCCATTTCATTTTTCTACTAAATAAGCATTCCATTACATTTCTCTACTAACATGACATTTTACTTCTTTTATCTACAAACATGACCCTTCACATAACTTTTCATGCAAACATTCAAGCTTTTTCATATCATTCAACCCAACATGTGGCTTCCATAACATTCAGTCTAACACACGGCTTGCATTTCGTTAGCCCAACATGCGGCTTTGCATATCATCAGCCCAACACACGGCTTTGCATTTCATCATGCCTAACACGCAGCATTGCATTTCATTTAGCCCAACATGCGGCTTGCATTTCATTAACCCAACACGCGGCTTGCATTTCATCAGCTCAACATGTGGCTTTGCATTTCATTCAAACCAACATGCAGCTTTGCATATTATTCAGCCCAACATGTGGCTTTGCATATCATTCAGCCCAACACACGGCTTGCATATCATTCAGCCCAACACGCGGCTTGCATATCATTCAACCCAACAGGCGACTTTGCATTTCACCATGCCCAACACGCGACATTACATTTCATTTAGCCCAACATGTGGCTTGCATTTCATCAGCCCAACATGCGGCTTTGTATATGATTCAATTTGACATAAGGCTTTACATTTCATTCAGCCCAACATGCGGCTTTGGATATCATCAGTCCAACACGCGGTTTGCATATCATTCAACCTAACACGCGCTTTGCATATCATTCAGCCCAACATGCAGCTTTGCATTTCATCATGCCCAACACGCGGCATTGCATTTCATTTAGCTCAACATGCAGCTTGCATTTCATTAGCCCAACATACGACTTGCATTTCATTAGCCTAACATGCGACTTTGCATATGATTCAACCCAACACATGGCTTGCATATCATTCAGCCCAACACGTGCTTTACATTTCATTTAGCCCAACATGCGGCTTTAGATGTCATCAGCCTAACACGCGACTTTGCATTTCATCATGCCCAACATGCGGCATTGCATTTCATTTAGCCCAACACGTGGCTTGCATATCATTCAGCCTAACATGTGGCTTTACATTTCATTCAACCCAATATACGGCTTTGCATATCGTTAGCCCAACGTGCGGCTTAGCATTTCATTCATGCCCAGCACGCGGCTTGCATTTCATTAGCCCAACACACGACTTGCATTTTATTCATGCCCAACATGCGGCATTGCATTTCATGCAGCCCAACATGTGGCTTGTATCTTATTCAGCCTAACACGCAGTTGGCATGTCATTCATGCCCAACATGCGGCATTGCATATCATTTAGCCTTACATGCAGCTTTGCATTTCATTCAGCCCAACACGTGGCTTGCATCTCTTTTAGCTCAACATGTGGCTAGCATCTCATTCATGCCCAACATGCGGCTTCGCATATCATTTAGCCCAACATGCGGCTAGCATTTCATATTGCCCAACATGCGGCTTTACATCTCATTTGCCTAACATGCAGCTTTTCATTTCATATTTGCCCAACAAGCGGCTCTTTTGCATTTTCATCTGCTTGGCATCACATATCTTTACATTTCATATTATCATTTCTTTCTTTTATTTCCAGTTGCTCAAAAATCAAGCTTATATAGGTCAAATCTCTCCTTATTTTATCTTTCTCTCCATGTTTTAGTTAAAATCGGTCTATTCTTTTATCTTTACTTTTCTTTTCTAATGAAAGAAAAGTAAAGAGGGCACAACTATCCTAACTCTACTTTTTATTTAGTTTATTCAGACCTTTCACATATATATATAGAAAACATATATATCATTTAAAATTGATCAAGGAAAATCATAAAAATTATAAAATGTCAAAACAACAAAAAAATTAAAAAATATGAAATTTTCTCTTTTCTTTAACTAACATATATTTTATTTTGTTTCATATGCGACATGCAAAAAGAGAAAATTTTGTGAAGAAATTTGAAAAAAGAACAAGAAAAGGACTCAATCGAAGGAATTTAAAAGTTGAGGATAAAATCTACCAAGATAAAGCCACAAATCCAATCTAAACCCCAAATATTGAGCCACTAGCCCACTTTCACAAACCAGCTCATTAAAACCCAAACCCAATAACAAAAAATCCTAGTTTTCCTCTCGGGGGAGCCACATCGAAAAAGGGGGGACCAGCAGACAAAAAACCTTTCTGCTTTCCCTCGGCTATTCTCCTTTCTAGCCAAAAAAAAAAAAAAGAAAAATCTTCTACAACCGGTGAGCTTCTCCCCCCCAGCCCCAGTTGACTCCGATCTTCACTGTCTCCTTGCCGATTTCGTCATCATCATAGTCTCCATCACCAGCATCTTTGCCGAGGCTTCCAGATCCTTCTCTCGGAAACCTCCCAAATTTCAGCTACCATCACCACCTGCTTCTTCTTCCAGCCCCTAATTTCCATTATCATCCCCATCTTCACCGTCATCTTTTCGATCTCATCATCACCAATATCTCCGGTCATCAAGCAGCTCAAAAAAAAAAAAAAACGAAAAGAAAAGAAAAGAAAAGACGGAGCAGATCTGGGTTTGACGAGGAAGGGGTTTGGCAGCCAAAAATAAGGGGACTTTTTCCCCTACTCTAAGCATTCCCTTTTTCTATTCTTTTCTTTCCTTTCTTCCTGTCATGCCCCAGAACCCAAATCCGAGGCGCGACAAACACCGTGCACTCATGAGACGGGTCCCACAAGTGCACAGGGCTTGGAACTTATCATATCACACTCTGATACCACCAAAATCTAAAGATCAAATTATAAAATTCTCTCTGATATCATAAAATCTCCAAATACAAGATCATGATTTATTTCTAAAATCTATATCAATCTCGAAATGGCTAGTTTTCTAACTCGTCACTTCTCGTGGTTTTCCTGTCCTCGGTTTCACTTCCTGAAATGGTGGACAAGGAAAAACTATGAGATAAACTCAGTAAGTAAAATATGGAGTGCCCCTTATTAAACTTATAGCATGCCAACAAGTGCAATCACGAAAAACGGATACAGTACGGGAACGAAATAGATGTCTCCTCTATAGGTCACGGCCAACGTATTAAACTTCCCACTGGCAGGCTACACTTGAACGAACCAGTTCTATCAATAACATGTCGACATGTGCTAGCGTTTAACCCCCACTAACAGGATTACAATAACATAACCACATCGGAGACAAAACAGGCAGAAGTTAACAGAAAATCATTCTTTACAATTAACTTTCAAATCATCAGGACAATCAAATGAACTTCAAGTAGGCATGCTCAAATCCATAAAAATCATAAAAACTTTCAGTTCAAATCAGTCATACTTATTTTGTATAAAACGGGTTTAGTCCCGCCACCACTTCAAAAACAAATCAAATTAAAATGTGCTTTAAAATCGGAGGGCGTTACCATAATTTACTTACCTCATTCGCATAAAACTGAGCACTCAATGTCAGTGCTAACTGACAAGACGATCGGGAACCTAATCAAATATTCAAGGATTAATTCCACTATCACAAATTCACACTAAAATCATCATTAAGACTACTCTTAATCATGATGCTATTTCTATAAATCTCCACATTATCAGATATCTCCAAATTTGTTCTTATATCACAAACTAAACACTTAAATCCCCGTTAATTGTTGGCCCTCGGTGTGTGAACAGTAATCTGTGAACAGCACCCGTGAACAGTAAACACGACGTGAACAATAACTCTACTTCCACAAATTGGCCAAAACACTAACTAATTCATGGGATTTTCTCCAAAAATCACACAGCAGTCAATTAACACTCAATCACATAAATCTCACTTGAATCAAGCTAAATCATGGTCTAATTACTATCAATTTTCTCCCCTATTTTTCTGTCAAATTCGGACAACACAGCCAGCAAACTAAATGGACAATTTAAGCCATAAAAGGCTATCACATACCATAATTTTCCTAGCACAACCGAACTGCAATTTGGGGGAAGAGCCGACGGCATGGAAGAAGAAATCCTGCAGGGAACTCACGGGTTTACCCAAAAATTGGAGAAAATAAGAGCAATCAAAGTTAACCCAAGCTAATTCAAGCAAAAACAAAGGAATTAGGGGCTGTTCTTACCGAAAATTCAAAGCAATTCGCCCCCACAAGGCAGGAGCAGCCGGCGGTGAGGAAGGAAGAACAGAGCAGATCCAGATTTCCAGCAGGGGGGAGAATTTCTGGGTTCCAAATCAGGTTCTTGGACAAGAAAAGAGGAGAAAAACACAAGCTTCTCACTGGTTTTCTCAAAGGCTGGCTAGGTTTCTTTTTTTTTTTTTTCTTCGGGTGGCTGCAGCGGGAAGAAGAAGAGCAGAATCGGGAAATGGTTGGGGAAGAAAAGAAGGAAAAAGGAGAAAAGAAATAAGCCATCCTTATCCAAATTCTTTCCCTCTTTAAGTCCCTCAACTTTTGAAATATTCACATTAGGCCCCAAAACAACATTCTCTCACAATTAAACCCTTAACTAAGTGCTAAAATAGCACAAAATTTTGGGGTATTACACTTCCATCAGGATATTTTGCGGATCTGGATTTTGGAGAGAAGAAAGAGGTTTTTTGTTTTGGGGTTGGTCTAAAAAATGGGTCCTGGAGTCGGAGAAAGGGGATTTCTGTTTGGAGGGGGCGGCGGTTGAGAGGAAGGATCATTGAACTTCCAGAGGAGCTTCATTTTCTAGGTTTCATCGCTGAAGGTATTCTCTGAAACAGAGGGGGTTTTGGAAAGGTAGTGAAGGAGCTGGTCCCATGGGTGGGATCCCTCCCATCAAATCTGGATTTATTTTGCCGTGGGTGTTTCTGGTATTTTTGTTGATTTTTGTTGTAATTTTCTTCAGGGTGTATGTTTAAGCTGGTATTTGGTTGCTAGAAAATGAATGGAATCAAAGATTATCTGTTTAGGGTAAATATTCTTTTTAGTCCCTCTACCTTCTATTATAGGGAAAAACCTTTTTAGTCATTGTACCAAAAAAAGCTTTTTTTTGGTCTTATTGTTTATAAATTTGATTTTTTTTAGTCATTTCATTAAATTTTAATTGATATCACAGCTTAATTAATGGAATTATTTAATTATTTTTTTATACAAATAATATTATAAATAATGTGAAAATTACGTGGATGCCATTTATACAAATTGAAAAGAGCAATGCTAGGGGCACTAGCCTCTTGCACTCTTCGGCCAACACTTCATTTTTTTATTGGGGCACGGAAGCTTGTTTCTGGCTTTGTAGTTCAATCTCTTCCAAAAACCAGAATAATGTGGCCCAATAAAAATGAAGGTGTTGGTTAGAGAGTGTAGGAGGTGAGTGCCCCTAGCACTACTTAATTAAAAATTTTGCATTTTAATTTATGAATTAAATGAATTTAAATAGGATTAATTTTAATTTCTTCATCTTCTTCTTTCTCCTCGTCCTTATCCTAGTTTCATCCTCATTTTCATCCTCATCCTCATCCTCATCCTCATCAATATCATGTTCGTCATTCTCTTCATCGTAGGTTGCTTGCAGAACCCCTTGCTAGGTTCCTCAAACTTAGTTTTCTGGGTTACTCACAAAACCCAAAAAAAATGAGATTATCCTTAAATTTCTCGATGTCTTATCAAAATTGTTTTACAAATGAGATAGACCAATAATGCAGTAGAATTACCAATAACCACACACAAGATCGGGTCACATTCTTAATAAAATTGAACAAAAATCACAAAAATAAGATCTAAGCATCAAAATTTGATATAACAAAAAACAAATTGATGCCTCATTGTGCCATAAATCTGTGCAAAATGAGAAGAAAAGATACAACGTTGATTCAGATGACTCGAAACTCCTTAATGTAATAGAAACTGAAATTGGGTTCAAGGAACCCAGCAAGGGGGTTCGGTGAGGAACCCAATTGTTGGGTTCCTTGCAGAGCCCAGATTTGGGTTTCACAAACCCAGCAATTGGGTTCTGCCTGGGTTTTGCAAACCCAGGTTTTGGGTTCCTCACGGAACCCCCTTGCTAGGTTTGCGGAACCCAGATCTGGGTTCCGCGAAGAGGTTCCACGAACCCAGCAAAAGGGTTCCCTGAGGAACCCAAAACTTGGGTTCGTGAAACCCACAAGGAGCCTAGCAACTGGTGAGGATGAGTATGATGCCGTGGATGAGGAGAAAGAAGATGATTAAGAAATTAAAATTAATCCTATTTAAATTCATTTAATTCATGAATAAAAAGCAAAATTTTTAATTTATACAGATGGCATTCACGTAATTTCGACATTATTTATAATATCATTTATATAAAAGATAATTAAAAGATTCCATTAATTAACCAGTCACATCAGCTAAAATTTAACAGAGGGACTAAAAAAGGACCGGATTTGTAAACAATAAGGACCAAAAAAGAGATTTTTTCGATAGAAGGACTAAAAATGGGCTTTTTCTATAGTAGAGGGACCAAAAAGGGTATTTAACTTTCTATTTATTTTGCTTGATGAATGTGTTTCTGGCTAAAATGAGATGCAGCCGGAATGAACCGTTAATTTCCTTTTGCTGCTGTTTAGATTCTATTTCTTTCTAATGTTTGATCTGCTTTTGTCTATTTTTGGTTAATAGTTCATGTTTTTGGGTCAGGTAGACCCGACCCAATCCAATAGATTTAAAAAAAAAAAAAAAAACTAAAAGAAGGGTAAAAGGTAAAAAATATATATATAAGTTTTATTAATTAATTAGGTGAGTTTAATTTATGATTAATGAAGTTAATTAATTTCAATTAAAATAAATTAATCATATTTATTGAATTTGATTTAAGGTAATTAGATTTATTTAATTATTTTCATTAATTAGTAAATGTGATTAATTAATTTTAATTAATTATTAAATTAAATTAATTATTTTGATTAATTAATTTTAATTTTCAATTAACTTTAATCTTGGTCAAAGTGAAAATTATCTCTTTTATTTCAAATTTACCCAAAATTTATGATTAAGCAAATCTTTCCAAATCAGTACCTCATGTTAGGATTTAATCAAATCATTCCATTTAACTTTTCTTGTTAGTGGCTGCGGTGAATGCATGTTCTTGATTTTGTCTATTTTAATCCAAAAATTTAAAAATGTTCCAATTTGATTTATCCCTTTTTTATTAAAACTTAAACAAAAATGTAATGAATAGGTTGAATTAAAACTCCAATATTAAAGTATATAACTGTGTTTAAACGGAGGATTGTGAGGTGTGCGTATGCCTTTCCTCACTCTTAATTGAACTCTCGAATTTCGATCTCCGCGTGGACCCATTTTAAGGTGATTTGTTTCACCTTATAATTTAGACAAGTGATGACTCCTTTCCTTATATATTTCAAAGCTAAATTTTTTCATTATTTTGAGATTTTAAGTGTGGTAGTCAACACATGTTTCGATCTGATCTCTCATTTTCAATTTACCCTTATAACACTATTAACAAAAACTTTGTTTTCCAATGTAATATGCTCTAGAAAATGCTTAAAATGCACTAAAAATTACCTACTTTTTCGGTGCATTGCATTGGAAAATGTTATCATAAAAAACTTTGGAAAATAGCTATTTTCTAATGCAATTAGAGGCTTTGGAAAAATGTTGAGATTATTTTTCAGTGCTTAATGCGAAAAAATAAAGGTAAATGACTAAACAATAGCATGTCATTGTTTACTATTAGCATTATTTTTAATGCATTGTGCTGAAAAATAAGCTAGATGATTACTAGTTATTGCTTTGTTAAATGTTTATTTTCCAAGGCAATGTGTTGGAAAATACAAAGCTTAGATAAAAAAAAAATTCCATTTAAACTATAAAATTTAATTATGATATATATATAAAATCTCTTAAAACAATGTAGTTTGAATAAATAAAAGTAAACTAATTATATATATATAAAGTGTTGTACCTATGATTTTGATGATTACAAAACACATTTGAGTGACTAATTGATTTATTTAAGTGTGTAGTTAAATTGCCAATATATTGCAAAGTAAGCAAAATGAGATTGCATTAAAAATGGCTCAAAGGATAAAAATATGCAGAGAGCCAGCTTAAGAAAATTACAGCCAGCTCTGGGAAGCAAAAAAGCAAAGAGCCGACTGCAGATTTTGTTGAGCCGGCTCTACGGGCCAGAAATTCAACTACTGTGTTGGCACGGCAGAAAATGGAAGCAGAGCCGGCTGTGGGGGTGCATTTAATGCACAACGATCGAGTTATTTGAAGATTATTTAATGTGTTTAAAGTTAGAATCTCAAAGCCGGCTTTAGGCTTTGCAGCCGGCTGTGGAAGAAAACAGAATGTGCAGGAAACCCGCAGAGCCGGCTGCAGAAATGGTGACCCGGCTGTGTAGAGCCGGCTCTAGGAAGTTAAGCCGGCTCTCCTGACAGTTCTGCAACTCGAGCCATGCGTCCTGCAGAGCATCTAATGACCCTCAACGGCTTGAAACGACTATTTTCGAGCAAGGGCCTATAAATATGGTTGGTAACAGATATGAACATGTTTAGAGAGCATTGTATTGAAGATCTTTACCTACCAACTTGTGCTTTAACTTGAGTTTTTGATCTTTGAGAGATCTTTGTTTGTAATCCTCATCTTGTGCTATTAGTGAATGATCTTGGAGGTGTGTTGATTCCTTCAATAGTGATTTGTAGAGAGGATCTTTGGGATTAAAGTGTAAATGGGTGAGATTTGAGAGAAACCCTTCTTCTTGTAAAGGATTGAGTGGCTCCTTTAAGCCACCATTGTTTTTGTTAGTGGAGAGTGTGGAGGAAATCCTTGGTGAGTGAAGCCAAGGTAGAGGACTAGGCTCTAAGTGGTTGGACCGAACCTCTATAAAATCATTGTGCAAGCTCTTCTTCTCAACCCTCTCTTTAATTTTTGTTTGGGTTTATCTTACAAAGAGGTGAAAATTCTCCAACTCTAATTCACCCCCCTTCTTGGAGTGCATTGAGTCAACAATTGGTATCAGAGCAAGGGCTCTAATTTGAAGGTTTAACCACCTAGGAGTTGATTGAGAATGGCTCAATTTCTATCTTCTCAACCACTTGAAGGTTTGTCTACCACTAAGCCTCCTTTCTTTGATGGTACTAATTATAATTATTGGAAGAATAGGATGAAGGTCTCCATGCTTGCAAATGTGCCCAAGGCATGGGTTGTGACTATGAAAGGTCCATATGTACCTATGAAAATTGTTGGAGAAAGAAAGGTGCCAAAGGAAGAGATTGATTGGAATGATGAAGACTTGGAGAAGATCATGATCAACAACAAGGCAATTAGTATGCTTCAATGTGCTCTCAATCCAACGGAGTATCATAGAGTCTCCGGGTGTGATACGGCTAAAGAGATGTGGGACATGCTAGAAGTCACTCATGAAGGAACAAGCCAAGTAAAGGAGTAAAAAATCAATAGACTCATTTACATGTATGAGCTTTTCAAGATGAAACCGGAGGAGAGCATTCAAGATATGTATACAAGATTGAATGATATAGTCACCAATTTCAAGGCTCTTGGTAAAGTCTATCCTCCTCAAGAAGTGGTGAGAAAGGTTCTTAGAAGCTTGCCTAAGAGTTGGGAAGCCAAGAAGACCGCAATTGAAGAATCTAAGGATCTCAACACTCTCAAGCTTGAAGATCTCATTAGAAAATTGATGACATATGAGATAGAAGTTCAAGTTGATGGTGGAGTTGAAGTAGTTGAGAAGAAGAAGAAGGATGTTGCATTCAAGGCTAGCAAACAAAAAGAAGAAAGTGAAGATGATGCTAGCAATGATGAGTTTAGCAATGAAGAGAACATCACCAAATTGGTTTCAAAGGAAGTGAAGAAATACATGAAGAAGAGCCTCAAAGGGAAATCTTCTAGAAGAAACAAGGAAATTCACTATTCTAGAGGAAGACAATGTAGTGATGATGAAGATGATAGAGGAAAGCCAAGTAAGAAGCACATCAAATGCTATGAGTGCAACAAGACGGGGCATTATAGAAATGAATGCTCTCAATTGAAGAAGAGTGAGAGGAAAGACAAGAAGAGCATGAATAAGAAAGCTTATGTTGCCACTTGGAGTGATGATGAAACTAGCTCAACGGAAAGTGAAAGCTCCTTGGAAAATGGTGTTGCAAATCTTTGCTTTATGGCCCAAGAGGATAGCTACAATGATGAGGAGGTAAACTCTAACTTCTCTAGTTCAATTAATGAAAGTTCATTTGAGTACTCTTATGATGATTTATGCAAAGTTCTTGATTGCTCTATGAATGACATTAAGAAACTAGGAAATGAGAATATTGCTCTTACTAAAACCATTTCATTGCTTAGGAATGAGATTGAATCTCTCTTAAAACAAAATAAGGTTTTAGTTAAAGAGAATGCCTCTTTAAATGGTGAGATTGCTTCTTTAAAGAATGAGGATTTAAAGAAAGGAAATGAAGATTTAAAGAAGGAAAATGAGGTTTTAAAGAGAAAAGCTTGTGATCTTGAAAATGTGATTTCCAAATTTATTTTGAGTAAAGAAAAATTTGATTCTATCTTAAAATCTCAAAGAAGTATTTATGACAAAGAGAGCATTGGATTTGATTATTCTAAAAAGCAAAAGACTTTCAAGAATTCTTTTGTAAGAGCAAGTCAATCCTATCATCCTAATGTTACTTGCTATTGT